CCTTCCTTGTTTCTTTTTTTTCTTCTCTCTCCCTCCCTCCCCCCGTGTTGTTTTCCACTTGGACTGAAGAGTGGGGTCTCTCCTCACAAGCTCCTGAGAGACTCCCCTGTGAATTCTCTTGAGTCTGCTGGCTTGAGCCCTTCCCTATTCTTCTCCATCTTACTTTGAACTCCAAAGACTCATTTGGATCCCCAAACTATGCTAGCCCAGCAGACACCCACATTGTAGTATTATAAGCTGGAGAATGGAGAAAAAAGCAAAAGAGTGGAACCACAGCAAGAAGATCATCGGGAGAGAGGTCGGTAGCCTTTACTGTGCACTGGGCGTTTGGGGATCCGCCCAGGAAGCAGCCGCAGGGAAAGTGCTGTCCTCACAATGCTTCTTCAAGATCTTGTACTTTTCAGCCCAGGGGTTCACAGACACGGAGAAGTAGCAATTGATTTCCTAGAACATAAGATCATCCCCCCCGCCCCGCATCATTAAAGAGGTCAGAGGAGCAGCATTGGATTTGCTAAAAGACGAACACTCAAGTTAAAAATATTGAAGTGCAAAGTGAAATTTATACACCAGGGAGAAAGCAGAGATGTCAGACCTGGAAGTAATACCTTCTCTCCACCCTCCAACCCAGAGCTGGTTGGATATTCATTTGCTTTCAGTTACTTGATGGAACATCACCGGTGTCATTCTAGAAAATGTCCCCCTGTCTGTGGTCAGTGTGCTGAGCTGCCTTAGGGACAGGAGTCACCTTTCAGTCATTCCTCAGTTAAATCCTCTCTGCACTTCTTTTTCTTGACCCCACTCCAGCTCTCCGGGGAGGACCCGGAGTACAGAGACTGCCTGTCCCTGGCTGCTGAGGTAGAATGTCCCCTTCTGCTCCTCCTAGGCTCCTCTGTGTCCTGATCTTTCCTACAGCCCAAGAGAGGTGCCTTGGCTGTCTCCATTTCATTCCCTTCTCCCAGAAAAGAGGTTCAACGCTTGGCCTCTTCAGGCAAGCTTGAGCAAGCCCACACTGTGCTGTCCCACCCGATCTCAGACCACAGGAGAATCCCACTGAGTAATGCGTCTGTCCACCCGAGTGTGCCCAGCCCATACCTTGTACTGGGCCCCCTCCTGAGGGGCACAGCTGCTGAACTTTGGCTTCAGGCACTTGGTTCTCCACATCTCCACAAGGATGTGATATTCCAGGTGGTCGGTCACCTGTGGGCAGAGGAGCCTGGGACATGCTGCAACCCTCTTCTCACTTCCCTGTGGCCGCTGCCCATGGGGGCTCTCTCTACACTGTACCCAGCAGAGTGGTGGGTGCCCCCCTTCTTCTAGTCTGACTCCATGCCTCTTTTTTTGCTATTCAGCAGAATTCATCTACTCAAAAGGCCAAGGTACGTGGACCGCAAATTCAAAGCCAGCCTGGGCAACATGGAGAGATCCTGTCTAAAAAATAAATAAATAAAATCAGTGCTGGAGTCTGTGAGTTCAAGGCCAGGCAACTCAGCAAGACTCTTTCTTAACAACAACAACCACAACCACTACCCAAGGAGACTTCACCTGAAACCATCTTGCTCAGGGCTGAGGCCACCTAGGTTAACATGAACCATGAGAAGGGATCTGGGCCCTGAAAACTGTTTCTGTGAAGAACAAGATAGTGAACTTTCTAGGTTCTGGGGGCCTAGTAGTCTCTCACCACCCTAGCCTGTGCTGTGGAGGCATGACTGGCTGCAGACGGTGTGGACCCTCGTGGCCCGCAAGCGTTGTGGGATGCTGGAGGCTGCAGGCACATCTGTCTCTGGGCAAATGACTGGCTTCCTCTGACCTTGGGGATTGCTGAAGGGCTGGCTTCATCTGCCCTTCCAGTGTGTTTCTCCTAATACTCTGTGTATCACAGGCCAGGGGTCCCCCAGGTCCTCTCTGGTGCAAGGGCAGTGAGGATAGGAGCAGGATACCCACCTGACTCTGTACCTGGAGCACCCGAAATATCCGGAAGCTGTGTATGTCATCGCTGTCCCGGTTGTACTGGTCATTGAGGAAATACAGGGTCTCAGGCACGAACTGGTGCACCGCCGTCTCCTCACTCACCTTGATGAAGGTCCTCTTCCTGAATTGGTCACTGAAAGCCACCAGCACTACCAGAATGGCCAGCAGGAGCTGCAGGGCCCTCCAGGGCCCAGCCATTGTCTCCTAGCCCCCTTGCCTCTCAGGACTGGAATTGTATCAGGCCACCTGCCTGGGGATTTAACTGTAGCCAGCAGCGATGCCCACGCTGTCCCCTCCTCCTACTCTGCTCCCCACCCTGCCTTTCCCCAGGAGCACCAGCTCACTCCTACCTCACACTTCCCCAGAAGCCAGTGTTCATTACAGAAGCATTGCATATGCACTGTTGTGGCTTGTGTCTAGCTGTCCTACCAAAGCTTCATGCAGTCTCTTTGGAAGGCAGCTAAATCTGGAATGTGTGATGCTAGGATTAAGGGCCTGTGATTACTAAAGCACTAATGTGAGTGACTGGTTTGGCACCGCCCTAATTCCAGTTCTCTGAATAAGATAAAAGGAGCAGAAAGACACTGTCAAGGTCCCTTGTTGTTTTTGCTATCTTCTGGCTGCCATGAACTGTTTCACTGTTTCCCCTCTGCAACATCACTCCTGCCTCTCTTTTGCTTTTTGCTGCTTCCAACGCCATGAACTGCTGCTGCTCTGACACCCTGTTTGGAGCCAGGTCCCCCCAAAGCTTCACACAGCCTTTTTCAGAGGTTGTTGAATCTAGAGTGTGTGATGCCAGGATTAAGGGGCTGTGATTACTAAACCACTACACGTGAGTGAGTGGTTTGGCACCACACTAATCTCAGTAGTCTGAATAAGATAAAAGGAGAAGAAAGACACCATTAAGCTCTCCTGCTTTGCTACTCTCTGTCTGCCATGAGCTGTTGCCACTCTGCCAGGCTACTTTGGAGCCAACAGATTATGGAGTGAAACCTCTATGAACTGGAAGCCAAATAAACCTTTCCCTGGGGCCAGGGACTTAGCTCAGTGGTTCCACCGCCTGAATAAAACAAACAAACAAACAAAAAACAAACAAAAAAAACCCTTTCCTTTGGATGTCACTTAAGAAAAGTAATTAAGACATGAATGCACACATGTACTCAGGAACACACATACACTCACATATGTGCATATCCATGGACACAGATACACACTCATACATGTACATCACACACACACATGCACACTCAGGAACACATGGCGCAGGAGGGTGGTACAGGCTGGGCCTCTATCCACAGAATGCCCTGAGCATAGCAATTGCAGGTGTAGGGTCAGCAGAGGAGGGGTGGGGTGTGTCGGGGCCCAGGAGGCACAAGGCCATGCGATGTCTCTGCCCCAACCTTGGTGCTGGATCACCAGACTGGAAATCCTGACATAAGCATTTAATACTGGGCAGTTGGGACAGGAGGGGCTCAGAAAGACCCCTTGTCAGGGGTGCCTCTGAGTTTAATTGTGGGGCGCCTCCTTGTACCCTTCTATGTGTAGATCCAATGATTTTCAATTCCTGCCTCAGTGTGTGGCCTGATTCTTTCCTTCCAGGTGCCTGGCCAAGGGCATAAACCCCCAGTACTTCCTGTGCCTCTTGTCAGTGCCCGTGGGTTCTCTGCCTGCCACCTACTCACCTGCCAGGTCACTGAGCAGTGGGTGATGCCACATCCTGCCCTGCTCTGTGTCCTGATCCCCTTTCTTCCCTCTGATCTTTCTGCTGCACCTCCTCCCCAGGAGCCCTGGCCTCCCCTCTGCAGTAACAGAGCTCAGCCTTGGAGGGGCAGGGGAAGCCCTGGACCTTACCCAGCACAGAGGATTGCCCTGAGGGGACAGGGACACTTGGGGACCCTTCAGTGAACCCCACTGTGCTTTCCATCCAAAGCTAGCATTCAAGTGACTCTGAGACAACACGTGGTCTCCATCTCGTCCAGGATTCGCTGGCCTCTCAGAGTAGGTGGAACCTGGAGCATGTGTTGAAGCTGCTCTGCTGCCAGCTTCCTGTCCTCGTGACAGACACAGAGACACAGTTTAGAGGAGGGAGAGTCTGCACCCAGGCACAGTGGCTCCAGCCTATGGTCACTGTCAGTGGCTCCGTTGCCTTGGCTGGTAGCAAGAAGGAACAGTACTGCAGGTACTCAAAGGCGGGGTGAAGCCTGGGACTTAGACTTCCACACAGGCCTTGGGGCACACTCACTCCCCACCTTCCCAGCCTGTACAGCAGCACATGTCCTGTGCCTCCTTGTCCACTAGCCATGTGGATGTGTCTGGCTTTTCTGATGCTGAACAAGGAGAGGAGGAGGTGTGCCGTGGGGCTCCCTGGTGGGGCACAGGTACAAGGCTGGGTTCTGCAGACTTGGGCTTCACACCAAATCCGCTTCCTCAGCTCTAGTGAGTGACCATGGCAGCAGCTCGGGGTGGCTGTGGCTCAGGACCTCACCATTGTAAGGGTGGACTGCTGAGGTCAGAAGCACCTGTGAGGCAGGAGGGAGCAGGTGAGGTGGGGGCAACGCTGCCCACACAGCAGCACTGCGGTTTTGGCCCAGGCTTGAGATCCCCTGGTGGTGTCTCTGCCACCCTGGGCTGACCTTGCCTCACTTCTTGGCTGCTGGGCCAGGAGAACAGAGACTACAAGCTGCTTCCCTGAGTCCTCACTCTCCTCCTGACTGGCTTAGTTCCTCGGCCTCCATGAAAATGTTTTAGTGTCTTCTCTGCTTACTGTAGAAAATTTTGTATTCTTCTCTGACCCCCACAGAAATCAGTCTTGATAAACAATTCCATTTTAACATTCAGCAAGATTTACATAAAATACTGCATATGGCTTTAGGGGCGAGAGACCCCTGAATGTAGCCATTAGTGGATCCTGCTCAGTTCTTTGTTCAGGATATTGGAAACCTGGATAAGGCCCCAACTCAGAAACAGTGGTGCATCAGGTGGGGAGGATGGGGCCAGTGACCTTCATGGGAAGAAGGTGCCAGCAACAATGACTTCTCACAGATGCTGGCTGCACACCCCGAATTCAGTGAACCCATCTGGCACGTGGTCTCCGGCCGAGGTCACAGGTAGCTTGGCCACTGCTCCCCCTTCTGAGGAGATGCTCAAGGGCATTCCCAGGCATTGCTGAACTCTTTGGATGTGCAGATGGAGGATATTCAGTGTGCATGCACTTAGGGCCAGGGCCTTTGTCACTAGGGTTGGGGACAGGGAGTGGTATATAAGGCAGTCAGCAGCAGAGGTCCCAGTGGGCAGGGCCAGTGGGTCTGGAGCAGTAGGGTGCCTTTAGCTGCAGCTGGCACCCCTGCTCCTCCCCAGGTGCCTGGTCCTCAGTGCTGATGCAGAGACACCCATGCTGTGGATGGTGCCCCTGCTGGGGTGCTGCTTTTGCAGGGCACTCACCTCTGGACCATGGAGAAGGCATTTGTGGATGCCACTGAGGATTTGGCAGTGGTGTGTGAGGAAATCTTGCCAACTATGCCAATTGTGAAGGCATAGGCAAGGCCTCTGAGACCAAGCCTCCCCAGGAGGCACCTGAAAAGGGGTCTGCTTGATCCATATAGCCCTTTGTGAGTGAGTTAATTAATTCCCCAATAAGAACAACACACTCAGAGATAATCATCATTAGGGCAGCATCAGAGCAGAGTTGAAGCTGCAGCTCTAGTGCTGAAGAGTGGCATGCCTTTATTCCTTTAGCAAAACAGCAGAAAACAGCTACATAGCAACACAGCAAACACAGCTACTAAAAGATGACAGTGTTCTTTAGTTCACAACAGTTATAGTGTCTTATCTGCTTACCGTGACACGGAGAGACAAAACACCTGCTGTACGATCTTGGCCATGCTGTGCATGCGTGGTTAAGTATGTTGTCATTCTTATATAACTGTGGCCCATTACGTGCATGTCCCTGAGAGCAGAGTCATGTCCTTAAGTGTTCTTAGATTCACTTATGCCTCCCAGGCTTTGAGTACAGGCAGAAGTGGTGCCCTACATGGTGGTGGAGTTTCTGTGGCTCAGGGTAGCGAGTGTGGCTCTGAAGCCAGCACGCACAGGCTGCCAGAGGTGGGGCGGGCGAGAGGACTGTGAGTGCTGTCCCTGTGCACTCCAGGAGAGCTCTGAGCACGGCAGGATGACAATGGGCAGCCATGAGGCCTCAGACTCAGAGCTCAGGGATGTGATCAGAAGTGACTTTTGCCCTTGAGGGGCTCCTCCTGTGGGCAAATGGCCCTGCCTGGACCCAGAGCCTGTAGTTTTGACCACTATACTCCTCTGTCCCTTCTACTGCTGTCACCACTAGGGAGCCCTCTGCTCAGCATGGGAGAGAAGAGAGGGCCGGCAGATGTGAGGGAGGGCGTGTGCACACTACGAGGGTGATACAGGGGGAAATAATATGTAACTCGCAACCTGTTAGATGTCATATATGCTGAGTTTGTGTTTCCCAAAGTTGAAGAATGAATTCTATTTTTTTTTTTTTTTTTTTTT